GGCAGATCCACAAAATGACAACCACAGTGCAGAGATAGTTAATTCCGACTTGTCGGAAAGTGTCGGTTAGATATTAAGTCCCGAACGGGAGATAGCGGCCTGCGTGCAATGGTAGTACTTTCGTACCACCGAGGCGCAACTATCGATAGTAAAAAGATGGTATAAGGCTTTTTTTCAGGCAAGCCAAATTATAAAATAGAAAACAAATTTCTTGCAGTATATGTATATAATAACATTATATAAGGATTCTTGCCACTTAACTGCTGATATAGAAATTTAATTCTACGCTGTGTTTGTCATGATGCGGATCAACATGCCCTCACTACCGGTTTCGGAGCCCTACTCCATCATCAGGTGAGCTTGGGCAGATCCACAAAATGACAACCACAGTGCAGAGATAGTTAATTCCGACAAGTCGGAAAAAAAACCGAGGGTGCCATTTAAAAATCAAAGGTTGTAGTAATTTCCGGTGAAATAGGAAGCGACCGAAAACAATTGAATACCTCAATCAATTCTGACTTATGTCATATCACTAACGTCCCAAATCTCGTTTATTTATCTAAAGATTTATCTGAAGAAATAAAAAAGTTATAAGAGTAAGCAACTTTTTAGAAACACCCTGTATATTGATCTAAAACTCGTCTCGTCACGATGTTCCTCTCTCCTCTGTCTTGTTTTTACATTAATTATATTATAATTACCTTTAACAACGATGTGAGAGTAGCAAGTACCATTAGGTGAAAGAGTACCAAATTAATACCACCACCATCGCAGGAACAATTTCAACCTGGTGAAATGTAAACGCCATACCATAGACCATCATTCTACTTTACTCCAAAGCCTATATACATTGTACACATCACATTTGAATCCTGCCGATTACGATTATACCAAGGACGTTATAATAGGTGTATTATAATTAATTATAATAGTTTATGTGTTGTTTTGTAGTGAATGCGCAATAGAATTTTTGTTGCCGGATAGAGATATATTTATGGTTAATAAAAATGTGAGTTTTGTGTTTATTGTGAATCTTCAGTGTATTTAACATGATGAATAAAAGTACTGAGGCTCTGGAGTGCCAGGATACTGTTTTTGAAATGGAAGTAAGTATATATTATAAAATATTTTTACTTATTTATTTTACTGTATCAAAAATCGAATAAATTACTAGATATCTATAGATATAGTTATATTTGTCCATATTTTCATTACTATATGAGATGTGAGTTTTATTACTACGTGTCTATATCTATAGATATATGTACCTATAGGTATTTTAGTATCAAAAGTCGTAAACATTGGCCATCGATATATTTAAAAGGTCAACACCCGGTATGAATCGAAAATTATATTTATACCGGGTGCGTCTCAAAAGTGGCTCACCCTTATACATTTTTTATTTTTTCAGATAAAACATTGAGATTTGGTATGTTAGTATATGACAAAAATTAGGATTGATTGACGTATTCAATTGTTTTCGGTCACTTGACCACAACTTTGGATTTTTCAATGGCACCCTCGGTATTTTTTTTTTAATAGAAAACACCTATGAATATATACACTCTGAATAGAATGACATATCATATGTCAACTTTTGACATTTTCGAATATGGTTTATTTGAAATTGCAACATGCGATTCATAACGACAATTTAACTCGAAATATCAAGTGTGTGGTACCAAATTATTTGTAAAAAATGTTTTTTCCAAATATGCTAATGAGCCACCCTCATTCCATTTGAAAAAATTGAGATATGATTAAAAATACGACTTGGGCATTTTTTAACCGGCCTGGACAAGACACGAATAACATTAGACGATCAGATCTAATTTTCCAAGGCTCCTTGATTAAAAATCAGTGTTTTTAACACAGCCATGGCACTCTAGATTGAAATTTAAAATTTAATTTTGTTTTAAGCAAAAATGTCAAAAGTTGACATATGATATGTCATTCTATTCAGAATGTCATTTTCTATGGAATAAAGTAAAAAATACCGAGGGTGCCATTTAAAAATCCGGTGAAACCATTTAAAAATCCGGTCATTTCCGGTGAAACAGGAAGTGGTCAAAAAGAATTTTAAATACGTCAATGAATCCTAATGTATGTCATATATTAATATACCAAATCTCGTTTTTTTATCTGAAAAAATAAAAAAGTTATAGGGGTAAGCCACTATTGAGACGCACCCGGTACCCGGTATACCGGGTGGTGGATCGACGTTGGAAACATAGGAAATCTCATGCAAATTTTTTAATTGTTCAAATATTGACTCCCCTGTTGAATTAACAGCCAAGTCATAAATAGGGTCCCGAAAGGACTGGGTATGTTGAATACATTTGCCAAATTTGAATAATTTTGGACAAGCTGTTTTTTAGTAATTTAAGAAAAACTGCATCTATTTTTAAATTAAAACAATAGGTAACAATGCAAAACTAGGAAAATGTCAACGTACATTTGACCAGAAGGTATGTTGACAGTTGCCTGATTTTCCATTGTTACCTTGTTCAGTTTTAATTTAAAGATAGATGCAGTTTTTCTTAAATTACTAAAAAACGGTTTGTCCAAAATTGCTCGAATTTGGTAAGTGTATCAAAGAAACGTAGTCATTTAATAACCCTATTGATGAACTACCTACAATACTTTGAACAGTTAAAAATTTGCATGGGATTTCCTATGTCTCCAACGTCATTGCAGCAGCCGGTATATATTTTTAATGAATGACATACGTAGGGTCAGCCAGACAAAACCTGTATAGTTATTAACGATATTTTTACATTATATTACCATTAAGGTAATTTTTGAGTTTTAATGTAATTTGTACTACATATTCGATTTATTCTTTTCAAAACAGATAAATATTGTAGTAGGTAGTTCATTGTCCAATGATATCTATAGATGATATCTACTTCGTATCGGGAAGCTTGAATTTTTCAGGGCAGTATCTAATATGCTACGAATAGGAATATGCAGATATGCATTTTCCTTTGTGAGAAATATGTAAATTTTCAATATTATATACAGTGTGTCCCAATACTCCGTGGACATAGAACTATTACGTATTTTTGGAATCAAAATAAGTTCATTGGACACAATTTACCTCTATACAAAAGTGATTTGTTTGTCCGCTAGAGTGCATTAAACTTTAAAAAATTAACACATTTTTCAGGTATTTTAAGAACCGTTATTCCTATTTGACTGAGATTTGGGTGTCTATGTTTTGCTACGTGATTTAACATTTGACCTTCACAAAAATCAAGAAAAAGTAGAGGGGGGTGAAAACGGGCGAAAACTACCCTCACCCCTACATAAATTTTAGTATAAATATTGTCCAACTCAACCGACGATAGATTTTCTTTTCGTGTAATGGTCCCTCTAGTATTTACTAAATTTTTTGTCTCTTGTATCCAAAAATATGGCGTTTTTCGCATAGTTTTTGAGAAAAAAAATTGGAGAATTTATTTTCCCAAAACAGACATACAAAATATCAGGGAATTGCTATATTCCGTGGACATAGAACAAATACGTATTTTCTCAATCAAAATAAGTTAATTGCACATAATTTACCTTTACACAAATCAATCAAAAATAAACCCGAACATTAATTGATTTAAAATTTATTATTTTTTAAGCTTTTATGAATGTAGAATGAGTAAGAGGGGGGGGGTTAATCACTGCAACCTTAAAGATCTATTGTGCACCCCTTCCTTGAGTCATCACACAATCTATAACCCATCATACCCCTGTTGTAGAGGGGACAGGGTATTTCCCATCCTCTGACAACAGTTCTTCCTCCGAGGGTACACACCCTTCCACGATTGGAGTTTGGCCCTCCGTGCCGCTCTTCACAGTCGAGGAGCTTGTCTCCGGCTGAGGAACCCATGAGGTGGAGGCTGGAGGATCTGTCTCCATTTTCTCCACCTCTTTAACTTGGTCTCTCCTTAGACCTGATACCGGTGTTGTCCCTTATCTATAATAGAGGATATGTCCCTCTTTCTCTATTGATTCCTTGGATTTGAGGTCAATTCCTATTGTGAGGACCTATTCTACATTCTACAAGCTTTTATGAGGCTTATTATCAAATATAATTTGTAATACTAACAGAAAATACCATATTTTCACCAACTAGATTATTAGAGCATAATATATTTTATACGCCTCTATGTAGCGGTTCTTAAAATATCTGGAAAAAATGTGTTAATGTTTTTAAAGTTTGATACCCTCTAGCGGACAAACGAATCACTTTTGTATAGAGGTAAATTATGTCCAATAGACTTATATTGACTCCAAAAATACGTAGTAGTTCTATGTCCACGGAATATTGAGACACCCTGTATAGTTGCACTAACTAATTGTGACTAAAAACTAATTTATGGTAAAATAATCTTCCCATTTTAATCATTCTTATATAATTATTTAAATTTTTAAAATTTCTATTCTTCTGGTACTAGCTAAATTTAGAACATCTATTATATAATTTCTTGCAGTCTAGTGAAAGTTTTATATCTTCGTATAATTTAAGTAATTGTGACCTTTATTTATTTATACCGAGTGTTTTAGAAAACTTTTGGTGTATATTTGTTATTAAACTACATTTTAATTCACTGGCAGTATTTTGGTAATGATATATTATTGTATCCTTGAATTATACAGAGCGTCTTAGAAATATTTTATTTTGTTTTATACTTTTTTTTAATTTTTTTTTGTTTATAGGTTCAATCTCCTTACGTCACAAAAGATTTAAAGCAAAGAAAAAACAAAATCCATATTATCGGATGGGATCACACGAAGACATACACTCTTGCTGTTTTTACAGGATGTTTCATATTATGGGCTCTAGTATTTTTTCCTTTAATTATTTTTAAAGGAGATATGTAGATTATTTTATTAAAAATATTTTGTTCGCAAATATTTTATTTCTATGTTTAAAATTATTTAATTACAATAAAGACAAATATACGAATTTATTTTATTATAAGAGAGAAAATTAAATAATTACCTTTGATAATATATTTTATTTTTTATTTAGTATTTGTAAATATTGTAAAAAAATATAAAATACAGTAAAAAATGAAAATTATTTTTTACATAATAAAAGGTTTAGTGATAATTTCAGAATGTTGTTGCTGGTGAACTTTTCCTACACCCACAGCTGGAGTAGCTGATGTAGGTCTTCCACAAAATTTAATCTGAAAAAAGAAATATTTTAAATATTTGTTATTTGATTTCAAATTTGAGAACAACGATTTGAACTTACTGGCCGTCCTATTAAATTTTCAAATCTTCTTTTGATGAATGCCCAAGCGCCCATATTTTGTGGTTCTTCTTGGCACCATATAAAAACTGCAACATTTATAAAAAATACTACTAGATATAATAAATAAGTACCGCATGACCGAAAAAAACGGTATCAAGTTGCTTTGAAAATGGCGACTGATGATAATTCAGTCACAATACCGGGCGCGTTTCAAAAGTGGCTCACTCCTATAACTTTTTTATTTTTTCAGATAAAAAAACGAGGTTTGGTATGTTAGTATATGATATAAATTAGAATTGACTGACTATTCAGTTGTTGTTGTTCACTACCTGTTTCACCGGAAGTGACTACAACTTACGATTTTTAAATGGCACCCTCGGTATATTTCTACTTTATTTGATACAAAATGATACTCTAGAGAAGAATGACATATCATATGTTAACTTTAGACATTTTTGCTATAATTTTTTTATAGCAAATATAGCAAATAAAAGTATTTTAAATTTCAATCTAGAGTGCTAAAACACAGTCTGTATTTAAAAAACTAATTTTTAATCAGAGAGCCTTGGAAAAATAGGTTTAACCGTCTAATGTTTTTCATATCATATCTCAATTTTTTCAAACGGAAGAGTGGCTCATTAGCATATTTGGTAAAAGTATTTTTTAATGAATAATTTAGTACCACACACTTGGTATTTTGAGTCAATTTGTCGTTATGAACTCCATGTTATAATTTCAAATAAATCATATGCGAAAGTGTCGATATGTCATTCTATTCAGAGTGCCGTTTTCCATCCAATAAGATAGAAATATACCGGGGGTACTATTTAAAAAATATTGTTGTGGTCATTTCCGGTGAAACAGGAAGTGATAAAAACAGGTGAATAAGTCAATTATGTAATCCTAATTTATGTCATATACTAACATACCAATTCTGTTATTTATCTGAAAAAAATAAAAAAGTTATATGGGTGAGTCACTTTTGAGGCGCACCCGATATAATTTTACATATAAAATATGCCCTGTGTGTGTGTACAGTTTGTTAGTATAAATACGGTTAATACCTTTTGAGTTGGGGTATATTGACAGTTCCTTAATAAGTTCTAACGTCGGGAAGGGGCAAAATGACTCTATTCTTAAGATTGCCGTATCGTCTACACCTATAGTGCCTCTTTCTTGATCTAAAGTGTAATAATGTTTTCCTGAAGTGAGCAGGACTCTTTGTACTTTAGCAGGGACAACTTTATTATCGCCTACGAAAAATATGTTAAATTAGAAGATCATTTGGATGCTGAGATAACTAGATAAAATATCGATATTTCTCGAAATCGATATATTTTGTTCATCCCTACTCTAATATGACGTAAAATTATTCATTATGACTTGCCTATTATTGGTTTAAAATGTGTTCCTTTTTCCATATCTGTAAAATTCGATACACAGTCTGCGGATCTTAATAATGTTTTTGGTGTAAATAGTATAAGTGGCTTCCTAAATGGTCTTATCATCTGAAATGAATATTTAGAAAATATGCAGGGTGTTTCGAAAACATCTCTCGTCGGGTGATTCCTCACGTACAGTACGTCTGTCCGTTCTGGGGCTACGGGGTATCCGTGAGAGGGGAAACGATATTCTCTCGATGTTTTTCGTGAAAAATTAGACGACGCGTCCCATCAATAAAAATTCAACAAATTTGCAAGTAGCCAATAAAATGAGTGGGCGGAGCGATTTGCGGTGACGCACTCGTCAAATCGACGTATAAAATATATTGCGGTTTATTTAAATGTTTTTTGTCCGCATTCCTTTCATAGACACAGATCCAGCAGATGTACTGGAAAAATAATATTTATTTTTCATATCAACATAGTTCTGATTCTGCTTTGTTTCGTAGCTACATGAGATTAAAGTCTTATTTTTTTCGATGAATTACAATTTTTTTCTTATTGTTTTTCTTTTGCTTTTAATGCTTTTTTTCCAAGTGCGATTCGAATATAAGGGTAGAGATTCGAATAAAAGAGGGTAAAAGACACTATGAATGCTACATATTTTTTTGCTAACAAAAGTGTCCATAGATTCACCAGGGACGTGCATATAGGTTATGATTGAAATATTTTTCTAAAACGTGCGCCACTGCTGGATCTGTGTCTATGAAAGGAATGCGGACAAAAAACATTTAAATAAACAGCAATATATTTTATACGTCGACTTGGCGAGTACGTCACCGCAAATCGCTCCACCCACTCATTTTATTGGCTACTTGCAAATTTGTCGAATTTTTATTGATGGGACGCGTCCTCTAATTTTTTACGAAAAACATTGAGAGAATATCGTTTCCCCTCTCACGGATACCCCGTAGCTACAGAACGGACAGACGCGCTGTTTGTAGGCCATTTATTGCCGATTAAAAGTTGTATCTTGATATTTTGTCCATTTTGATCTCCTCGATGAGATAAACGCAATTTTATTAATCACAATTATTAATAAAAATAATTGAAAATTTTTTTGAAAAATTTTAACATCCTGTAACTTTTTTTTTATATTTTTTGATATATTTTTTGATGAGGAATCAATGAGTACTTATTTATCATTTTGGCAAGTTAATGACATTTTTTTAAAGGTTGCTAGATATTAAATTGGATTAAGACAAATTAATTAAATTGCATTTATCTCATCAAGGGGACCGAAATCGACAATGAAATATCAAGAGACAACTTTTAATCAGCATTTAACGGTCTACAAAATTTTGTTAAAAAAAGAAAAAGTCAGTGGCGCACCTACTCTTTGTAGAAAAATATTCCAGTTATAACCTATATGCATGTCCCTGGTGAATATTTCGAAAAATTTTTAGCATTAAAATATATCGCACTTTAGTAACTTATACCCTCAAAATTTCATTCGAATCGCTAAAAGCACTTGGGAGAAAATTATAATAAATCGAAAAAAATACTCTAACCCCCTGTAGCTACGACACAAAGCAGAATCGGACCTACGTTAATATGGAAAATAAATCTTATTTTTACGAGAGGAATCTCCCCACAAGAGATGGCACATGTTTTTTAAAACACCCTGTACAAATTAAGCATAATAAGTGATTATTTATATTTATCAGTAACCGAATTAGTTGACTATTGATAATTTTTTTAATATCTCTATGAAATGGAATTAATGTAGAATTATCTTTTTATATATTATTTAAATCCCCCTATAACAAGCTTTATTAAAGCTAAGTTGTAATCTAATACAGAAATTACTCACTTGTCTTCTTAGTAAATGAAAGTACTGCGCCGGAGTACTAGGGTGACACACCTGCATATTGACAGTTTCGCCATCAACTTTGTCTTCTTTTGAATCAGTCATTTGAAGAAATCTCTCTATTCTGGCAGAACTGTGTTCCGGTCCTGCACCATCATACCCATGAGGAAGTAACACAGTTAGACCGCTTTGTGTTATCCATTTTGCTACAAAGGTACTATGTATTAATAATATGAGTTTACTTCCAGAAATAGTGAAAAAAATACGCTCAGATGCAACAAACGCAACGGAAAATTTTTTGGTTAAGTTTAAAAAAAATCTTTTTAATTTTTAGCCCTATTTCTTTGATTTTTTAGCAAAATTATACAGGTTTACAGAAGGGTTATTTTTTACCCTAAGTTTACCTTTTTTACACTCTGTGCAATAATTTGGTGGCTAAATATTCCTAAAACATTATTTTTTGGCCAGAACCATGTTTCCTGAATGTTTTGTTTTTTTGACTCATATTAACACATGTTTTGGTTAATTTTTAAGAGCAAAATGAAGTTGCTACAAATATTTTAGTTTTGTTAGTGTTATTAATATTTATTAAAACCAAGCCTGTATCGTTACTTTTTAAGATTTTTTAAATTTTCATATAGAGTTCTAATAAGTGTCGATTTGACATTACGACAATATAGTCATACATCAATATAGTCCACCTCGTAATATTAAAAAATAACATCATAAAGTAACGATAGTTGAAAAATTGCAAATTGTTGGTGGCAAGTTCATTTCGCTCTTAAAAATTAACCAAGGCATGTGTTGACAAGAGTCAAAAAACAAAATGCTCAGGAGACATTTTTTGGTTCTGATCGAAAAATAATGTTTTAGGAAAAAGTTACTCACAAAATTATTGTACAGGGTATTTTAAAGTTATGGTAAAAAACAACTTCAAGCCAAATAATAAAGTTTACAAAAAACTGAGTTTATTAATTATTAAAGTTGATAGACACAGTATATATATAGTATATAGACACAATGTTTTAGGAAAAAGTTACTCGCAAAATTATTGTACAGGGTGTTTTAAAGTTATGGTAAAAAACAACCCTTCAATTTACCCTGTATAATATGCCAAATAATAAAATTTATAAAAAACTGAGTTTATTAATTAAAGTTGATAGACACACAGTATATTATATAGTATATAGACACAGTATAGACACATTATACATAGACACAGATATGTACAGTTTGCCAAAAAAAATCATGAAAATAGGACTAAAAGTTAAAAAAAATAACAGTTTGAACTTTTTAAATTTGAAAAAATTATCCGTTGCGTTTTTTATAACATTTGCTCTTTTTTATGACCTATATCTTATATCTCTCCAAAAAAATCCTATAAGAATATTTCGCCACTACACTGCAAGAAAATACAAAATAAAATAGTTATTTTTTGTAAACACTTCTGGCGTTAAACCTAAACGGACATTACTTGTCAGAAGTTATGTTTACAGTTATACAAATTTGCCTAACAAAGAGAAAAATAACGTTTAACGTTTCGGAAAGTTTATATGACATTAATTAAAAAATGTCATTTTAACAGAACGTCAACGGTTTCTTGTAGACGTATCTGTTTTAAAAAAGTAAGGCGTTCTCAAATAGTTGAATTTAAATATTTTAAATATTTTTTTTCTTTATTCTTTGTATTTTGTTTTGCTTCCGACGACGGAAAGAGATAAACTTTTGAAAGATAAACTTTTGATAAACTTTTGTAGATTTTCTTGCGGTACAGTGGCGAAATACCCATATAGGATTTTATTGGAGTGATGAATCCGCCACATAGGTATAGACATTTTTTACTATATCTTATAGTTTACCTTCTCCTGAACTAATAAAAGTATCGAAAATAATTTGTGCCCCATTGAAAAAGTCACCAAATTGGGCTTCCCAAATAATGATGTTATTCGGATTTTCTATGCTCATTCCATATTCGTATCCCAAGACCGCCTCTTCAGATAAAATACTATTTGCTAGTTCTAAAAATGTTGTTTGGTTTGGGTGCATGTTATTCAGTGGTATGAAAATGTTGTTTGACTGCTGGTCAACTAACATGGCGTGTCTTTGGGAAAAAGTACCCCTCCCTATGTCTTGCCCACTTATTCTAACATTATGGCCTAAAAGTAAAAGCATAAATGGCTTTATATAGTAAATAGATAATTAATTGTGCATGCAGAACATACCTTCTAAAAGTAGTGAACCTAGTGCTAGTGCTTCAGCTGTGGACCAATCAATTTCTTGACCATTAGCTATTTTGGAAAGTCTATTTGTTACATGTCCTCTCAAAATTGTAGGATGAATTTTCTGTAAAATAAATTATATTGCACGTAATTTACTATATTTTAACTTTGTTATCACTATTATTTTTTTTCATTGAATTTTTTATTAGTTTTTTTTATTGTAATAGAAACTTAATATTATAAATGTTTTTTTTGGCTTTAGTATCTATTGATTACGTACAAAATTATCAGGCACATTTACAGATTTTTGTCCTATGAAACTCATATGATTAACGTTAATTCCTGTATCCCATGTTGTTACAGCCTCCTCTGCTTGGGTAATATCTTTCCAGTGATCCTTGAAATATGGATCCTACAATGCATAATTTTAAACATGCCCGTAAGTCATAAACACCCTGTGTATATTGACATATTAGACTAAAATGATAATATAATAATACATACGTATGGTTCCCATTGGTCGACAGCTTTCAGTTCTTCATTTAACCAATCAAAATGTTCGTTGTACACTTCTTCACACTCTTGCTCACTGATAACTCTTTCTTCTTCCAATTTTGCTTTGTACAGTTGAGGAACTGATCTTAAAAAGACAATCGTTAATTTTTAATATCAATCTCTCATTATTGTAAGTATATCTGATCTGACAAAAGTAACATTTAAAAATCAAATAACTTTTTTGTAGTATTTTTTGAACTCTATTCCTTTTTTGAGATATTCATTTTAGTTTTGGACAAATTATACATACAGGTTGTTAATTTGTTGATTACTCGCGGCAAGAGCTTTATGGTTGAAATATGGCAAACTCGGCCCGCTCGTCGATAGACGACGCGACGGGACGAGTCGGCAGAAAACCCTATAAGTACATGCGTTCTCAATAGGCAGTGTTGCCATTCTGTTCCCCTATAAGTAACTGTCGAGTTAACAACCTGTATGTAAAAAAATCTATGACTAAACAATACAAGGACAAATAACACCCGAGAGCAAATTGTTATCATACCATCAGACAGTTGGCACATAGTTTTCTTAACTTAAGAGATATTTATATTTTTTTATAAATGTTTTTACTACGCCTATGGTGCATGCGGTGGTATATTATCTAGTTAATTATTGTATGATGGTATCATACTAATTAATTATGAAAAAAAAAACGTATTAAAATGTTAACAAAAGGTACAAAACTATAGTATCGACGGGCGACGTATAGCACATATCAAGTACATATAATATCAACATTATAATGATGGAATTCAATAAGAAAACTAAGAAAACGCTAAAAAGGTGGAGGGGACTGTTTATTTTCCTATAAAAAGTAACTCTTGGCTCGTTCTTATCGCTGCGGCTTTTCCACTTGAAAGCTGAACCACTAATCACCATTGTAATAAAGTTTATACAAAGTTCATTACACAAAAACTATTAAACATCGCTAAAATTGCTGATGACCAGCTGATAACTCATTCGTTACAACCAAAAAAATGGTGTCTAACGTCACAAATTCTGCTGCAGCCCGTTTATGGGCGTTGCCCGCCCTTGCATTCTTTAGTCATTAAAAAAAATAGATGGACTAACCTTTTTGAGTGGATGATAGAGTACAAGGCTGGGTTGGTAAAGGTAGGATCATCCATTTCATTGTGCCCCCACCTTCTGAAGCAGTTAAGATCAATAAAAATATCTTTCCGAAATTTCCTTTGGTACTGGTAGGCTATTCTTGTTGCTTTGTATACTTCCTGTAACATGTTTCATATTCCTTATCGAACATAAGAGAATAATAAATGTTTTGATATTTTATTGACATTTAGAAAAAATATATTATTAGGATTGGAATTTTTAAAAAATATAAGACCTAAAAAACATGTAGTTATTATGTAAAAATTAATATATGAATCTTAATTATCTAAAACGCACTTTTTAGTGCGTCCACAGTTTTTGAAACTGTTTTGATGTATTTGGTTTTATTTATATTTATTTAAGACTTTTTAGGAAAAAGATTTTTAGTTACCTCTGGATGGTCACCATTTACGTGTAATACAGGGGCTGAAATAATTTTGGCCAAATCTGTGCAATACCGTGACGATCTTCCTCTGTCAGACGGCGTGGTAAAACCAACTTGATTATTGACCACCAAGTGAATGCTGCCCCCTATTTCGAAATGAGGCACGCCACTGAGCTCCAGACATTCTTGATTTACTCCTTGGCCGATTATAGCAGCATCACCGTGAACCTTTATTTGATGTTTTTTTTATTTTTGTAAATAACAATTAACATATTATATTATGTACTTTTTCTTATGTTGTCTCCAGAAAAATAAAATAAATGTGTCTTTTAAGCGGCCCATACATTATCAAACAAATTGCGCAACGCAGGCTGTTGCGCAACGAGTTGCCAATGTATGATAGTGTTTGATGCGTTGCGCAATTGTTTGATGAGTTTCAAGAATATTTGAATTCTTTTGTGCAACAGGACTGTTTGCGCAACGCGTTGTGTAGTGTATGTGTGTGTTGCGCTTCGTTGTGCAATATTTTAGTTCTTTCATCCAAATTCTTTGTTTTCTTTTTCGTTTTTTGGTATCATCGACATCATCTAGGGTATATACGATAATAATTGACGCAATGGCAATTGCGGACATGATTGTTTCTCAAACAATGCATAACTTTTAATAAAAAGTTTGATCAAAATTTTACTAAGTGCATGGGTAAGGCAGTTGTGCAACGGAACGTTGCGCATCGCTTTGTTGCGCAACTTGTTTGATAGTGTATGGACCGCTGAATCAGTTGTGCAACGCAACGTTGCGCATCGCTTCGTTGGGCAATTTGTTTGATAATGTATGGGCCGCTTTAAAGAAAAATAACAACTATAATCACAGATAACACATAATAATAATAATAATTTACACACAGTGGCGGATCCATGAGATTAAAATAGGAAGAAACAATACAAAAAAAATGATTCAGTTATTGTTATTACTGGTTTCTCATTCTTTTTGGAAAATATTCAGACCACTCACGTACCTGTATATTTAAAACTTTATCACTCCATACATTGTGTGTTCCATAATCTCCATCTTTAAGTGCTAGCTGTTTTGCTCTGGTTTTTCCCATGGACACAGGGTTAACAGCCTCTAAATGAGAAGGGTTATAGATCAAAGATACATGAACAGAACTATCATCAGGATATATCAGATCCGCTGAAGAAACTACAATACAGAAAATAAAAATAATGTTTAATATGAAAATAATTATGTTCCTAGTAATTCTTACTTAAATGACTCAAGACATCTCCGGAACATTGATATTTTTCTGGAAAATCAGCATTCCCTTTCAGTTTATGGAAGATTTGGGTAGGTGGATAATTTAATAGACCTGTCAAAAGATTTAAACGACCTCTGTGGGGCATTGCCAATACAATATGCTCCAAACTGTCTAAAAAATAAAAGTGATTCATTTTTATTTTTTTATACAGTTTAAAAAACGATACGCCAATGGAATGTGGCCTAATGTATGTAAAAGTACCTGTTAGCAATATTAGGCAAAAATCCAGAATAGATTTAGTAATGATTTTTTATAATAGGACTTATCAAAACGACACAGATTATAATTTAAATAAACTAGAGGGAGGGTGAAATATTTATTATTAAGTAAAGTTGATAATAATAAATAAAATTTCAAGGTCATACGGACATTTGGAAATACATAGTTACATAAAATTTCTTCTTATTTCTGTTGTATTGATATTACAACATATAGACATATACACAATATTTGATATTTCATATTTAAACAATTTTTGAAAACTTTTAAGAAAAAATCTTATCAAAATAAATAAAATTTTTAAAGTATTTATTTAAAAAAAATAACCTTTAGCTGCTGATTGAAATAATTCACTAAGGACTGTCATCATACTTTCTGCGCCTTCACCACCGTATCTTTTAACACCTGAAAATTTCTTTGCCAAAAAATTATCGAACGCCTCTGACTTTATCAAGTCTTTCAAAATCTCTTTCTTTTGATTGGCATCTATTTTCCAATTTAATGAAGTTTCTAGTTCAGATGCAAACCACTCACGCTCTTCTTCAGTCTAAAAATATTATATAATTCTACAAATTTTTAATGCAAAACATATACAGAGTAATCCATTGTTAGGCTTAATATTTAACTTTATTCTTATATCTATAGATAATAAACAAAGCATCTCATTACGCAAATAAAAATATATTATTATGATGTTATTGCTACCTCTAAATATTCAAATTCAGCACTTGTGTAGTTACAGTAAACTTTGTCCAAGAACTTTACAAGTTCACTTAGTGGTATTGTAGACTCCTCTATGCCATTTACTATACTTTCTGTATATATTACTTCGTCTGTATTCTTAAATCCATATTTCCTTATGTCTAATTCAAGATCATTCCTGAAATATAATACACACTTTGTTTATATGTGTTTTTGAGAGACATTATTGATATTTTAACAGAATTTAATAAACACCGTACCTAAAATCTTAGCTTTTTATAGACCCTAAGGAGAATATAATGTCGTAATTCTAACTTTTAACTTACAAATTTGTTTTTCCTAAACATACAGGATTAACTTTAGCATATTTGTGTCCATATTTTCTGTATGCACTAACCAGCCTGTACAAGTTGCTTGACTCACATCTTTTCTCCAATACTTTTTGGGATACTGTAGAAATTGAGATTATATTAGGATAAAATAATTACTTTTAGATCTAATGCAATGACTAAAGAATATAAGGATATATATTCTTTACCCATATACGTGCTGCAGCAGAATTTGTGACCTTAGAGGCCATTCTTGTGATGGCAAACAATGAGTCATCATTTGGCCACCAGCGACAATTTTAGCGATTTTTAATAGTTTGTGTGTAGTAAACTTTGTATAAACTTTATTACAATGGTGCTTAGTTGTTCAGCTTTCAAGTGTAAATCACGTTGATAATATATATGATATAGCATAGATAGATATAGCAGCAGAGATAAGAAAGAGCGAGGAGTTACGTTTCATAGGTAAATAAACAGTCCACTCCAACTATTTAGCGTTTTCTTATTGAATTCGATAGTTATTCTTAAATTTCAATTAACATCTATATGTACTTGATATGTGCTATACGTCGATACTAGTTTTGTACCTTTTGTTAATATTTTAATACGTTTTTTTCGTAATTAATTAGTATGATACACCATAGGCGTAGTCAAAACAATTATCAAAAAATATAAATATTGCTTCAAACATATAGGTTAAGAAAAATATGTGCCACGGCACTGTTTGGTGACATCGGCACAGTTTGCTCTCGGGTGTTATTTGTCCTTGAATTTTTTGTCATTGATCTAATGCGTCTTTTGGTTTGGTTATTGGTTATTGAGAATTGATTTTTTTCTGAAAAAAAGTTCCAACACCAAAGTAGTCAAAATATAAAATATATTTTAAAGCATTTGTTAATATAGTTAAGTAGCATGCCTAATTTAATACCGTATGATCGAAAAAAACGTTCATTTCCAAGCTTGGACGCCGTTTTTTTTTTCGATCATACCGTACAAAACATGTTGTTAAACAGGCTAAAATATGTTTCCAAATCAACTTGTCACTGTAACTATGGAAACGAAGTTGTAGTTGTTGATAATAAAAATTATTTTAGTTATTAATTTAGGTGCAATGTGCGAATTATTTCGCGCCCCTAGTGGCTAAAATACATTACGATCGACATCAGAGATGGTTTGGGAATGAAGATCGTTGTCATTATATAAGTAATAATACATGAGGAATATAATATGTCATCGATCGACATTTCGAAGCCAACTTGACATCGTTTTTTCGATTATACGGTGACTTAAGAATATGAAAAAGTGATTTTAACGTTCATTAGATTTTTTTATAATTCCCTATTTCAATATTTTCAACTTAAATTCACTCAATTTTCAATAACACTTATTTAAAAAACGTTTTATTCATTTAATATACCGGGTGCGTCTCAAAAGTGATGGCTTACCCCTATAACTTTTTTATTTTTTTGAGATAAAAAAACGAGATTTGGTATGTTAGTATATGACATAAATTGACGTATTCAATTGTTTTTCGTTGAAATGCCTTGACTAAAACTTTTGACTTTTAAATGGCACCCTCGGTATTTTTTTACCTTATTCGATAGAAAATGACATTCTGAACTCTGAATACAATGACATATCATATGTCAACTTTTGACATTTTCGAATATGGTTTATTTGAAATTGTGACATGCGATTTATAACGAGAATTTGAATCGAATTACCAAGTGTGTGGTACCAAATTAAGTAATCGCAAAAAAATGCTTTTTCCAAATATGCTAATGAGCTACCCTCGTTCCATTTGAAAAAATTGAGATATGATTAAAAATACGATTTGGGCATCTTTTAACCGGCCAGGACAAGACATTAAAAAGATTAGACAATCAAATCTATTTTTCCAATGCTCGTTGATTAAAAATTAGTGTTTTTATCATGGGCATGGCACTCTAGATTGAAATTTAAAATACAATTTTTTTAAACGAAAATGTCAAAAGTTGACATGATATGTCATTATATTCAGAGTGTCATTTTTTATCGAATAAAGTTGAAATATACCGATGGTGCCATTTAAAAATCAAAAGTTGTAGTCATTTCCGGTGAAACAGGAAGTGACAAAAAACAATTGAATCCGTCAATCAAATCTAATTTATGTCACATACTAACATACCAAATCTTGTTTTTTAATTTGAAAAAATAAAAAAGTTATAGGGGTGAGCCACTTTTGAGACGCACCCGGTATAGGAGTATTTTTGGAGCATTACTATACAGGGTGTTCTTTAAATACATGCTAATATTTAAGGGGCGATTCTTGGACCTATTCTAAGAAAAAAAAATCATATGAATGGATGTCCTAAACATCTTTACTTTTCAGATACAGGGGGGTAAAATTTTCTATTTTTTTTTTCAAAATATCTCTGATGTTATATTTGATACATGTCTTCCAAGACATGCATTTGCATGTCTTGATGTACAAAAAATGTATTGTCCTTTATTAATCTCTTAACTTTTTTTCAGGCGATGCAGAAACGATTTCCACACAACAGTCAGCGCATCAGATTTTCAGCAATTTGACTCTGAAGTAAACTGACTTTATTTTTTTTAAACAAAAACTATGCGTCGGACGAAAAAAATCAAAAGTTAAAAATTGTTTAAAAATGAATGGAGATTTTGAAAATTATTTTTACCTATTTTAAGAAAAGTCAGTGGTGTACCAATTTTTGCTTCTAAAATATTCAATGTAAAACCCGCGTGGACGACACTGGTTGAAATTAATAAAATTGTTTGTACAGGGTGGCGCCCCTCATACGCCGCGGAAGCTCCAAGAAGAACGGTAGTTTATATCGAAATTAAATTTTGGCAGCATAATATGTAGGTTAACTGAAAGCATTTTATAAAAACATATAGAATTATACAGGGTGTCCCCAAAAAAGTTACACATCAAAGTTGTTTTTTTTCTAATCGAACACCCTATACAGGGTGGTTCGAACTGTATTCCGGAAACTTCGGCAGCATATTCTGCAGATAAAAATAAGTAAAAAGTTCGTATAAATGTAAAAAGTTCGTATAAATGTATGTTCTAAAATACTTAGTTTCGGAGATACAGGGTGTAGAAGTTTCATTTTTATTTCGATTTTTTCCAAATAATTTCTGAAGTAACGTTAGTATTTGGATGAAAATTGGTGTCTGGGAGTTTTGTGACACGAGAAATTTGATTTTGATGTTAAAATGACTCCTATTTGTAGGGGGCACCACCTACATGCGTTTTGACTGTTTTTAAGAGTATTAACTTTTCGTCCGTACCTGTATAAAACTACTGACTAAAAAAATATACATTTCCATGACTTTTTACGTAAAAAATGTCTCTTGGTAAAACTCGCTACGAGCAACCGTTCTTAAGATATTTAAAATGGAAATAGACAATACATGTCATTATTGACAAAAAATGAGCATACGTTAAATAGAGTTATTTGACTGAAATAATAAATTTTTATTTTTTTAAATTAATCATAAATTTTTCTGCGAAAAAATGATGAAAAAACAGTTTCTGTTGAACTTTTGACACAAAAAGATTTCAAATTTAAGATTTCAGTCTAATAACTATTTGGTCAACGTGTTTAATTTGTCAATGATAACAGGTATTGATAAATTCAATTTCAAATATCTCGAGAACCACTGCTCGTAGCGATTTTTTCCAAGAGACGTTTTATATGTAAAAAAAAATTTAAATGTATATTTTTTTACTCAGTAGTTTTATACAGGTATGGAGGAAAAGTTATTACTCTTCAAACCAGTTAAAGCATGTGCAGGTGGCGCCCTCTACAAGTAGGAGTCATATTGACATGAAAATCAAATTTCTCATGTCCAAAAACTCCCAGACTCCAATTATATAATGGAAAATATCTCGAAATAAAAATGAAACTTCTACACCCTGTATCTCCGAAACTAAGCATTTCAGGACATACATTAATACGAACTTTTTTACTTATTTTAATCTGCAGAATATGCTACCGAAGTTTCCGGAATACAGTTCGGACCACCCTGTATATTAATTGATTTTTGGATTCTAGGAAAAAAATAACGGTGAGTTTTATTAAATAACAGAATATAATGTATAATTGCAAATAAAATACCTAATATCTAAGGATTTTGACATATTTCACATTTTGATAACAGCTACCTAAATTTTAGTTGACCTTGTATAGCCTGATATTTAATTACAGTTAACTATTGTGTGTTAAATGTTAAACCAAATTGAAATTTAAACCGAAAAGTTATACTAGGTGAGACAAAATTAATATGGAACATTAGTCACTTTTAAAAGGAAGTTACTCCTTTATTTTAAATGGAACACCCAGTATATTATTCCGGTGTTCAATGAGGAATTTATATATCTTCAAAATATTATTAAGGTTGCCTACCCCTCAGACAAAGATTTTACTAGATATCTTAATTTTTATGATTTTGCGTCAGTAGATCTTTATTATTCGAAAAAAATTAGGTAGCTGTGATATACTTTTTGTTAATTCAACAAAAATTAAATATTGTAGAGTAAAATACTCAACGGTAATAAAAAATATTATATAATAAAACATATTTTAATTATTACAGAATTAAAACTAGATATAAACCTATTATTATGTGACAAAAATTACCTAGATGAAATCAAATGCTCAAAATTCTTCCTTTCCTGTTAACTGCGTAAAATGATTGTCTTTTCAAAAGGATCTTTTCATTTTAAAAGGCATTATGTAGGGTTCTACCTCGAAAAGCAGCTACAATAATTTCTCTCATGTTGGCGACAATAAGTTTTGTTTTAACTGACACAAAATGATAATTAGTTGTTCAAGTTGGACTAATTAGACAATTATGTATAAGTAACGTCAGACGTATCACACTTATCACAGCTACTTTTTTTATTATTTTTTTTATGATTATGATTTTATCAAATAATAAAGATCTGCTCAGATCATTTAAGTCTATGGCTCAGATCAAATCATGTAAATGAAAATATCTAAGAATCTTTGTTTGTGGGGTAGGCAACCTTAATAGTATTTTGAAGAGACATGAATTCTCCATTGAATATCGGAATAATATTCTGGGTGTTCCATTTAAAATAAAAGAGTAAAATACTTTTGAAGGTGACCAATGTTCAATATTAATTTTTTCTCACCCTGTATAACTTTTTGGATCAAGTTTTAATTTGATTTAAAGTATAATAATTAATTTAACTACATATTTGGTTATACCGGGTAAATTCCAATTTAGGTAGCTTTTAATTGTAATTTAAAAATTATTGTTCTTTATTATTTCTAGAAAATGTTAAATATGTTAACAACCTTACATTTTAGTCATATACTTCTCTTATAAAACTCACCTTTATTTTTCTCCCAGAATCCGAAAATCAATTAATATAATATAGGGTGTTTCATTACAAAAAACACAACTTTGATATGTAACTTTTTTGGGGACACCGTGTAGAACTCTCTATATTTTTAAAAAATCCTCTGAATTAACCTACATATGCTCACAAAATGTCATTTCAATACAAACTGTCGTTCTCCTAGGAGCTTCCGCTTGTGCTTCCGCGGCGTATGAGAGGCGCCACCGTATGCATCAAAAAAGGTATTTTGATTTTTGATATACATATAGAAGACGTGTATCAAGTTTCATAAAAATGTCTATAATAAAATCAGAGTTATTATGAAAACATTTCTTTTTTTGAAATTTTTACCAATATAAGATATTGAGGATCTACATTCATAAAAAGTTTTTCTCTTAAAATAGGTCCAATAATTGCCCTCTTAAAGATTAGTATGTCATTGAGGAACACCCTGTATAGTTTGACTAATAATATGATTATCAATAATATCTAGTACATACACAATTGTCAGTCAATTGTAACATAACAATATTAAATTGAACTAAAAAACCAACATCCATGAAAGATAGGAAATATGAAACACATCACCTTTATATATTTTATAATAACAACTGTTTATTAAAATTTGTTTATTAATATTTGAATAATTTCCTGAAATTAACTTATTTTATACGCATACCGTTGAATTCATTTAAAGGTTTCTTTTTATAGCCAAATACATTATCCGTTTGGTAAAATCGACAAAAACACTTTGTATTTTTTATACTATAAGCACTAACTAGTTTGCGTACACTAAAATACATTTTAGTTAACTAAAACACGCCACTACACTACTATAATGAGGTTTTTACTGTTGAAAATAACATTAATCAAGTGAATAGAATTAAATACTGCGACCTCATAGCACGACTGATTTCCCAACTAAATATCAACTGAAATGAAACAATATTATGATTTTATTTGAAGACGTCTTTATCTTTTATTTTATTTCTTAATGTAACAAAGATTAACTTTTATGTCAATTTATATGATATTAAATTATTATTAGGAGTGTGTATGAAAATAGGTATTTTTAAAAAAAAATATATATTTTTCATTAAATATATCCATGGAAATTTGTACTAACGAGGTTTGTAAGGAACCCCCTACTTTTTTAACTTGATCTCTCCTTAGACCTGATACCGGTGTTGTCCCGAATCTATATATAATAGAGGACATATCCATTTTTTATTATTTATATATTATATCCCAATTTAAAAATAAATGCAGTTTTTCTTAAATTAGTTAAAAACGGCTTGTCCAAAATTGTTCAAATTTGACATGTGTATTAAGCATATTTTTTACAACCTTTAATAAATCTATTTACGACTTCGCTGCAAAAATCAACAGGGGAGCAATATTTGGACACTCCAAAATTTGCATGGGATTTCCTGTTTCCAACGCCGATGCACCACCCGGTATAACTTTTAACATGAATCAGCCTAGTTTAAAAATAGTGGAGTGCTTTAAGCCCTTATGGGATACAAACCTCGGAATTCATTTACTGTGAACGAATTTTTATAAAACTTTTTGCATTGTATGGTTAATAAGATATATTACAAAGTTTACCCATTTAAATTCGTTGCTTTCACTTTAGTATTAAACACACATATACAAATGCATACATACAAGATGGCTCCGTATTCCGGAAAAGCTCTGTATTAGGATTTCTATTTGAAATTTTCACTCCAAACCTTTTAAAAAATATATGCTTAATGGTAGTTCACATTTCAAAAATATTTTTATAGATATACAGGCTGAGTCAAATATATATCATTTATTTATTTGAGTTCAGTGAACTTGCTATATAATTCCGGTTCCAAAAATATCTTAATACCATAGAGTATACTAAATGGTCTTTGAATTATGACCACGTCCATGAGGACGCCAATCTAGACGTCTAGGAACCTTCGTATGAGAACTTCTAATCGAGATGATCGACTTATTGTAAGTTTATCGCTAAGAAACCGCCGTTTGCCAGCTTTTCAAATTGACAATGAATTGCACTTAAGGACCGTACATATTAATTAAGGGACTACAAGAAGAAGATTAAATGAAATGCAAATCTTATGTCAAGAAGGCCTGCTTCGGGACTAGAACTTACTAGATGTGTTGACTAGGCCCAAAAGCAAACGCATGGTCATAATGTAAAAATTACGAAAAAATGTTAGTGCCTTCATTAAAACCGAATATTTCCAACAAAAATAAAGCTAATGAGATGAACCAAAAAACAAACCATCGAGAAAGGATGTACCTAGATAATAAAATGATTTTTAAATTTCTTGCTCTTTTAACATATTTCACAGGGTGTTGGTCAAACTTTCACCAAAATATCAACATTTTGTTTTCCCTCGTATAATTAAAACAGATGGGGAGTTTCATTTTTAATTTAGAAAAAAATACTAAAAAGTCAAATAATTTGGCAACACACTGCTTAAAAAATCATTAAAATCGGCCCATTAAAATAAAATATATTAACCTCTCTTTAACCTTTCCGGGACCGTGCTACAAAAAGTTACGTTTCAGGCCGTGTGGGGTAACTATGATACCCCACTGAAATATCTCAAAAACTATTAACATTTTGTCACTCAGGTAAATTATTAATAATTATTTGTAAAGTTTAATAATAAAACGACAATAATTTAAATATTTTGTATTTGTTTAATATAAAAAACATTTAATTTTAAAACTAAACTATTATTAGTTTTCTACACATTAATTTTTTTAAAAACGTTTTACATTCTTTGCCGAGAATATTAAAAATGGGGTTTTTGCATGTATTACATAATATTTTTGTTTTTTTTTCTTACGTGATCTGGCGCAAAAGCCACATCTTCGGTTTGAATTGGGTTGAATCTCTTTAGCAGGATTTATAGGAACTGTGCTTTCGACAAGAAATACATTTATTGCTGATTTTACAGTTTTGTGAAACTTGCTACTATTTTATTTCCTTCTTAGAACGTTTAGAAGTACAAGTCCTTGTGCTGAAGGATTGCTCTTCGCAGCTCTCTAAGCGAATTCGGCATGAATCTCTTTTTGTTAGCCCATCATCAGTATATTCATTTTGCGCCATTTTCCAATAAATACACATACTAACTTACTACATAATAGTAAATACCAACACTAAACTGAATGTAGAACTTGTTTCCGTCTTCATACAAAGTCACCAACACGAAAAAACATGAATAGTGCGTGTAGGATTTCGAATCACCGAAGGCCGTGCGGGGTAACCGAGGTACCCCAGGCAGTAAATTTCAGTTTTTCGCGGAAAATAAAAAAAATATTTGGATATTTTTGTTAAAAAAGGGTTTTGTAATATATACTCTAGGATTACCTGATAGGAAAAAAGTGAGAAATAAAAATTGGAAAAGTTATTAAAGAAAAAACGCATCTGGGGTACCTAAAATACCCTGCACGGTCCCGGAAAGGTTAAAATACATCAAAGTTTTAAGGTGCCCATTTTTCCTGCTGTATTTCAAAAACTATACATTTTAGTCATATGCTTTTCTAATGAAACAAACCTTTATTTTTTACTAGAATCCACAAATCAATTAATATATAGAGTGTTCCATTACAAAAACATAACTTTGATGTGTAACTTTTTAGGGGACACCATGTACCCTGTAGAACTCATAATTTTAGAAAATGCTTTAAATTGACTTACATAAGCTCACAAAATTTCACTTCAATATAAACTTTTGTTCTCCTTGCAAAAACCGCGTCGTATATGACGCGCCACCCTGTATAATTCGATTTCAATCAAAATTTCAATGACTAGAATATAAGCACAATAGGTAATAGGTATAGCTTATGCATTAGATTTATTTATTTCAATAAATTTACTTAGAAAAAGAATTAAAAAAAATCAAAATATTAAGAAGGAAATAATTAAGAATTTACTAAAATTACTAAAATAAAAAATTAAAAGCAACGAAAAAAAATGGGTAAACATTTTAGTATTTTATCTATAAAACACAATACAGAAGGTTTCACATTAATCACTCCACTAAAAGATATTGTTATTCATGTGTGTGTGTGAAAAGTAGAATAGAAATACATATTTAGAAAGTTCATAACAAGACATATATACAATAATAAAATAATATACAGGGTATCCCAATAAAAAAAAATAAGTTTGGGTTATATTTCAAGAATGCCAGCTCTCAGCAGAAATATATTCGACCACTGGATTTTACGTGAAAAGCTCTACGGAATTCAGTTTTCACCTTTTCGATAAGTTTTATGATAATCAAGATGCACGAAGGGGGTGGAAAATTGCAAACTTTTCAAATTCGCTCTATATTTCAGAAAATAAGAGGGCTAGGACAAATTTATGTGTGTATAGCAACTTTACATTCATAAAAAATAGAACAGTGATGTGAAAATCCCCCCGTATCTTTGTATATATCTACTAATAAACGACGAACCCTGTAAACAAACACGAAAATAGGATACCCTGTACTCGTAGACGGTAGAACCCAGATAAAATATCATTAAGGAACGTTTTGAAAATTAATTATTAAAATCATGATGATTTCATATCTGATATCATCAAACTAAAAATGATATGCTAATTATTTATCATTTTCATCAATCACCTTTATTTGAAAGGCCACTATGACCGATTTTATTGGATTAGCCACATATAATATTGTATTGGCCATTTATTTTCCTATAGATTTTAATTTATTTTTGTAACACTTTTATTATATAATACTTTGAAATTCTTTTTTGGTAAATTAATTACTTGTTTGTTACTAAAAACTGGCCTCTCCTGAAAAAATATAAAAGAAATAAACAGTAAATTTGACATATTTATGTTTTTAAGTAGGTAGGTATTTTGTTTTACGTACCTACTTGTTTTCAACTTACTATGTTTTTAAAATGGAAATTTTTGTCCATAAATTAATTATATTGATGAAAAATTGAATTGTTATGATGAGACACTAATTATTATATTGTATATTTATTTAATTTTCCATGGTAATAAATGTATATTGCCATTACTCAAATGTATATTACAATAATAATTGTAATATACATTATTATAATGTCCGGTTTTTAGTAATAATTTTGCCTCACTACCCTATGTAATTCTTTTGTACTACTATACCGATTAGAATATAATATGCATTTGTAATATGGTCCTATATTAGTAATATCGATATCATTATAATCGTATACATATAATATGATTTTATTACCGCTAAACTAAAATTATTATACAGGGTGTTTCAAAAACATGTGCCATCTCTCGTGGGAGATTGCTCACGTAAAAATAAGACTTAATTTTCATTTCAACATAGGTCCGATCCTGCTTTGTTTCATTAGCTACAGGGTGTTAAAGTCTTAATAATCTTTCGATTTATTATAATTTTCTTCCAAGTACTTTTAGTGATTTGAATGAAATTTTGAGGTTAAAAGTTACAATAAGTGGTACATATTTTGTCTTGTCTTGTCTGTCTCGGATTTGGCTTTGCTACTGGGCAATTGCCAGCTCAATTTTATGATGACCTCAATGTTGTCTGGCTGTCCACCATATTGGGGCCATCTATTCTTTTACAATTCTGGAATTCTTTCCTAATTAACAGACTATCAACTTGTTCTATTGGATTATAAGTGCTGTGAAGAAACCATTGTTTCGGATGATCTATGGATCTGTAAAAGCTAGGTTAGTATTGACGAACACAACATAGGAACAATGGGAGAATGGTTGAAATGACATCACATATTCTACTAGATCGGGAAGCTTCAAAGCTGCTAAAACATTAATAGGTGAAAAGCTGAGCATTACAATTTTATTTTATTAATATTCAAAAAGGACAAAATCAAATTGACCAAACCTTCATTTGGCTTCTGTAAGATAGAAAAAATAGTTATGGGAGCATCGAATTTCATGTTAATAAATTTCCCATACAAATCCATAGTAGGAATGAAATTGATAGGACATTCAAAAAATATATGATTAAGATCTTCAACTGTACCACATTCACAACGTGGGTCTTCTATCGCTTTTAT